ATTTGATGTTCACACGGTTATTTTTCACTCGTCAGAGTTCGATGAAATAATTCGTCTGCAACATATTGCTGTTACTTGTTCGGTTTAAAAATATATAGAATAGTTCGCAGGAATAGTTAGCTAGAAATATGACAATACCATTTCCTCGAGCATCTTTGCACTAATTTTTAACGTATACTATAAGCATGTCTTTCTAAAAATATTTAATATTACATTTCGGTGTTGATTCTGAGTAATCGTTAAGAGTTCGGAATTAAAAATAGCAGCTGTTTACCCGATTCGTAATTTTCAAACAACAGAGCACAATTCAACATGAGGATATGAGTCAGCTCATATAGTGTATGTGTATAATTAGTAATATGTCCAATGAAATTTAATGTGTTTGGAAGAAAAAAATATTCTCTTCATCATAATCTCTAAAAAGAGATTTTTAATTTTTTCTTTTTTTTTTTATAGAATGTGGTGGACGATTACCGGTACATTTGGTAACATATTACCAATCGATTGGAGTAAATCGTATGCTAGAAAAATGCACATGCCTGCGCTTAATTTGAACGAAGCTCCGGTTTCACAGGAAAGGTAAGTCCGATCTTTTATAATCTTCTTCAATTTTATTTTGCAGCTTTTTTTCAGCAAAAATACATATTTTAAAACAATAAAAAGCATTTTAATATATTTTGAAAGTATATGTAAAGCACGATTTGCAAATTAGATGCTTTTATTTTATTTGCTATAGACCTGAACTAGAAGATTTAAGTAGCGAAGATGAGGCTGTTGCAACTGATTTGGACATGCATGCTTTGATCTTGTCCAGTAGCACCGATACTCATAGTCCAGAGGAACCGTTGAAAACTGCTGAAGAAGTACTCCGTGAAATAGATGATATAATGCAGGTAAAAATCAAATTTTTCAAAAACTAGGTAGAAATTTACGTGAAAAAAAGAAAATCTATCTTGTGTAGGAAAGTCCATCCATGGAAAGATCTCCAGATTCTGATGGATCTTTATTAGATAGCGATGAAGCGTTGGAGAGAAGCAGAGAAGTTTTGGGCTCTCCACTGCATGAAAAAAGTATATTTAAATCAATTCAAAATAATAAATTGCATCGAAATAGACCTCATGATTCTGAATTATGATTATTCATTCTAGAATTAAAACATCTTACCTCCAGCCAGCTTAATGAGTTACTTGGAGAAATGGAATCCTTGGTGGGAGCGCTTAGTGAAACTCTCATTGCGGAACTTGCATTACGTGATGAACTTGAATATGAAAAAGAATTAAAAAATCAATTTATTTCATTGTTGTTAGCAGTACAAAATCGACGAAGACAGCATCATGTTACAAAAAAAAGAAATCAAATGCAAAATGGTACTAGTCCTTTACTACAACATAGATCACTTCAAGAATCTAAGGTAATTTGTGATTTTTTGAAATGATAAATTCATAAATAAACTTAAAATTATTTAATTTTAATGCTGTTTCTTGCAGTATTTAACTACCGTAATTCCTTACCATACAGACAGTGGCCCACCAGACAATCAAGCATTGCAAGTTCTTATAAAAAGTAGGTATTGTTAATTATATAATTATATTAATTATTTAATTTTGATATTTTATTTTACAGTATTAAAAGCAATTAGTGAAGACAGTCCAACAGTACCTACTTTGTTAACAGATTATATATTGAAAGGTAATTGAATTTAAAATAAATATACGAACTTAATATATTAAAATTATATTATATGTTTTTTTTTTAGTTTTATGTCCTACTTAGTAAGCATACTATAAATTTCTTAAGGAAATCGAAAAAAATTGGAAAAAGGATATTAATTAACAATTACAATTTGCTCTCTTCTTGCCAGTATGCTTTCAGCCGTTGTTGTGCCGCATATTCTTGCGTTAAGACGGGTGATTTTGCTTCGTCTCGAATTGTGTCTCGAACTATACTCAGTATCGATTATAGATTTATAGATAAGGTCTGTGACACTCACATCTAGTCTTACTTTATATATTATCACATGTATATTATTTTACATAAGGATACATTTCTAATATCTATGTATGCGCTCCATAAAATCTATAAAATACCTCTTAATTTTGTATGACTTATAAAATCTTCGTTTTTGTATACATTATCATGAATTTCGCGATAATTCTGTTTTTTGTAATTTTTTGTACATAAAGATCTTATCGAAATATGTGAGCAAATTTTACTATATTACCGAAAATACTTATATTTATGTAGAAAATATCTATTAATTTATAGATTACAACATATAAATTTATGAATTTGATGTATATTGTTGTAATATTCATGTACCTATATAGAATTATCTATCTAATAACATATCGCGCAAAAATAAAAATCTTGTTGCTAAAATAATTATATGGATATACACTTACAAAATCTATTTAATGATTATATGCAAAATAATAAAAATATTCAACACTTGGTGTATAGCAATATAGTTGTTTGCATATATTAAAGATATTGTGTTTGTTAAAATAAAGAAATAAATTAAACAACCTTATTCTACGATTTTTTTAAATATTAAGATTTGTATTTTTTTTTTTTTTTTTACTAATTAAATTTATCTATATTTTCTTTTAATTTCTATTGAATTTTATATATATTTAATCAATAATAAAATTTTCAACTCAATCAGTAGACAAAAGTGCATTTTATAATTACTAAACGTATTTTAAATATATTTGTAATTTATTGATGTGTAATTAAATTATGTTTATTTTACCTTTTTTGATAATAGAATTATGTAAAATTATATATATAAGTAGTTGATGTAAAATATCATTTATACGAATAATAGATATACGAATAAGAGTAAGATTCCTTAATTTTTGCCCTTCAAAGGTTGTTTATCTAAGAAAATATTTATATGAATTAATTGAATAATGAATGGATATCAGGTAAGTATATATTTTATAATTATGCAATAAATTATAATTATTAGTTTTTAATAGTACTGAAAAAATTACTTAATAAAAACTTGTTTTAATAAAACCTAACCTAAGACTTTCACATGACGAAGATTAAAAAGAAAGAATAACATAATATTTTAAAAATTATGTTTGTCTTTTATAGATATTTTCGGTACATAATTTAGCAAAAATTGCTTTTTGCGGAAGTATTCTTATA